TTTTTTTTGTATAGCGGGCTTTCCAGGCGCATTTCACGGAGCCGACAAACTGCATTTATTCAACATTACTCCTCGATTTCTGAGTAGAAGAAAAGATAGAAATTGGCAGTTAGATCAGCGAGTTGTAGAGATATTTGCTGATTTGATAGTCAACTTCGCACGTCATGGGTGAGCACTCTATATCCTAAACGTCTTCTTCCATTTCATATCAAAGACTTCAAGATGTATGAAATTTCGTGCTAAACATATATGACGGATTATTTCGTGCAAATATGCTTTGTAATTTCTAGCAATTTGCTCTCAAAGTTCAACCCAGCAAGTACGTCATATGTTTTTGCCATTGACATTAACGATGTTATGTTAACGGCAAAAACTTCACTGCAAACTTTCTTCCGCAACGACCTTTGCAACATAAAGAGGTTAGAGGTCGTTGGAACAAAAAAAAAAGGGTTTGCAGATGTTCTGTCTTCATTTTTTGCTGCAAATCGGTTCAAGCTTTCAAGTGATCCTTTAAGCATTATCGTTTTCGACTTTTGCCCTATCACATTGGATAATAGCTTAGGAAAAGTACTGATTGATTAACGAAACAATCTCGTTTTTCCCGGAAGTTCCTATTCGCGGAACTCCTAGTTTAGGTATCCAACTCCTGAGAACTCTGGATTTTCATTCAACTGGACTGCAACAAACGCAATGGAGTTGAATTACTTGTCGATTACTGACAGCCCCACTATGGAAGTGAGACCAATATTTAAGACCTCGGATGGGTGCTTTCTAAGCTACGATTTCCAGGTTGGATATCGATGGCAAGGTCATGTTTTCTGGAATTGGTATGCAAGATCATTGGATGCCGTTGATGTAGGAAATTTGCAACGAATAGCTCAACTTGATAGGGATGTAGGAAACTGGCAGGTACTGCTTTTCTTCTTGAGGAATATAAATCGATACTATCGTTGCAATTTTGCACATGCTTCACGTCACCGAAAAACTCGATTTTTTCTCTGCAGTTAAATACCCTTTATGTCCCCAAAATACTTTTCTTTCATATATACGTAATGCCTAGGCTACAATACTGGCATTTTGCTTCACACAGTCTAACTTGGCTGGTCTGAATTTTTTACCCTGCAAGCCTCCTCTTTTCCTCAGACTGCGCAGTTTATGTAGTCGTAATGGTGGATTTTTGTATTTGGCATTTTGCTGCTCATTGGAAATTTTACGGCGAGCTTAGTTTGGATGGTTTAAGTATATGGTTCAAGACTGATGTTTAGACTATAATTGTGTAATTGCCCTTCAAGCCGTAGCCATTACTGAAATCCATTGCTGTAACTATGCGTCTTAAACTATGCATTCCCAAAAACAATGAATATTCGATCATTTTCACACTTTGACCTTATCGAGAAACGTCATAATGTAGGCGAGTAGTGATTAAAGGGAATGGTCGAATGAGTCTCATAAATTTTAGGGAACAGTTTCCGGTCCTCGACTCAATGAAATGTAATTGGGGTAGACAATGACTTCTAGGTTTAAGGTCTACCTAACCACAAAGTAGTTGCTGTTGATTCCGGCAAGATAAATTAGAAGAATGAAATTCTAAGATGTTTTTAGTTCGCAACAGCCATGCTAGCATTCTGCTCACTGTTCTTCTTCGCAATCCTGGTTGGTTTGGCATGCTACTGTACCAGAAAGGATTCCGACGACGATGACTTATGACTTCTGCTGTCGTGAGCCGAAGCATTTCACTACCATTCTATAGTAAACTCCCAGCTACGAATGGTGGCTCTATTATTCTAGAAGTATTCTAGCAGAGAATTTATTCAATTCATCAGATTTGGTTATATCGCCATCTTGACGGATACTTTCTCATCGTTTGATTATTAAGTTGTTGTGACGATATTTTTTGGAATTTTTATTCTCTTTGGTCATTTCATTCAATAGAGAATTAGTAGCAGTGTTCTTATGACCTGCTTTTGATCTTTCTCGGACCAGAATTCTGCAA